ACCTGCACGCCGCTGGGTCGCAGCTGGGATGGAGCGAGCCTGCCCGCCCGAGGACTCTCTGCGCACCGGTGGGGAAGGCAAAGGGGGGGCGTGCGCGCATATAACGGGGGCAAGGATGGGTTGCCAGCTCCCTGCTCTGGCTGCGTCCCAGCGAGTCTCGGTCCCCATGTCCACTGGGGTCCTTTTCTTCTGTGTATGGATTGGGGGGGGGAGGAAGAGGGAAAAGAAGGGAAAAACTAGGACTAGTCGGGGGGGGTAGGGCAGATTCGGTTTAGGGGGGATGGAGGATACACTTTTGCAGGGTCAGGTTGCATCAGTGCCTGTGTGAATGAGGGAGGGGGAAGATGTGGGGGGCTGCGTGGGGGGCATGGGACAGGGAATGGGGTGTGGGGAGGGAAGAAGGGACAGGAAGGGAGGCGTTTCCACGAGGCCTCGAACCCATGGTGGCAGGAGGAGGGAAGGAGCGATCACCGATGTGCGCGCAGGTGAGGACTTGAGTGGCAGCTCCCAGGCTCTCGATGGGGGTGAGATGAGGCAGTTTTGTGTTGATTCTTCCTCCCCCTCCAAGGACCTTCCTTTTTTTTGCTGAGAATCTGGGCTGGGCCTTTGGGGTTTTTTTTTGTTTTGATTTTGATTCCACGGAGCATTTTCAATAAAAAAATTATTTTGCTACAAGCAGTGGCTGGCGTTTCTACCTGGTGCCCGTCTCTGGAGCTGAGCCCCGACCGGAAGACCAAAGCCGCCCGGTGGGGTGGGGGGTGTTGTCTTTCCTCAAGAGGCATCTCAAGGACATAGCTTCTCTTTTTGGACAAACTTTTTTTAAAAAAAAACTTCTCTGGCTTTAAGGAGGACAAAAGAGAAGGGTGTGGGTTGCGCGATTTGCACCAGCCGCAGGAAGGTCCCGCCCCCTTGCACCCGCAAAACCAGGCACGGCGGGCCAAGAGACGCCGCGATCCTTTCCCATCGGCCAGAGCAGGACCGGACGAAACAGCATTATGCACACCCAGCGGCCTTCCCGGCTAGCCACGTCGCTCTGCCCGCAGCCATTCCACTTGCTCAAGAGGTGGAAGGTGCCCCTATGAGATCAGGCAGGATGATGCATCAGGATTAAATGCTTGACCGTGGGGAGGGGCCTCAGCAGCTTGCTTAACCTGTTCAGCGGTGGCCACCAAGGTCAGGAGGGCGCAGACTGAAAAGCAAAAGTAGGAATCCAGCAAACAGGGATTCCAATGATCATTGGTGTAGCCATGTCTGAATTTTGCTTTTCATCACTAGGACTAATAATCAGGTGCTGCCGGGTCAATTCTGACTTATGGAGACCCTTTTCGGGTAGAGGACATCCAGAAGTGGTTTATCCTTCATCCCTTGGACTGTGCAGCTTTCCGAAAGCTACACAGGCTCACTCTTCTTCTCCCAGAGGGCAGAGGGGAATACAAACTCCCAAACTTTGGCTTCCAAGCCAAATACTTAAATCACCGATTTTACCCCAGCTTGTTTTTTTCATTCTCAACTCTGTAAAAGGGAAGCTTTCCCCTACTTTGACTGGGACCCAAGTTTTCATGGTTGACCAGCCTCTCTCTGGGGATGGCAGACATGTCCCCGGATGGACGTGCCGGGGGGGGGGGAAACAAACAAGGAAGCCAAGGAGAGGCAGATGCTTTCTGGAAAGTTTTAATCTAGAACCTGTAAAACTACATCAAACGGCAGCATCCCTAAAGGGGAGGGAGGGGAGAAGGGGAAATGAACCAGAAACAAACAAACAAACAAAAAAGTGGAGAAGGAGGGTGGGGGTGGGGGGAAAGGACATGATTTTTCTTTTTAAAAAAAGGCATTTTGTGATCAGAATTAAACAAAAAAAAATTAACCACTCACAAAACCGAGGTATCAGTACAGTTATATACAAACCAGATTTGTGTGTGTGTGTCTGTGTGTGAGTGAGAAAAAGAGAGAGAGAGAGAGATGGTTGGTGGGGTTCAAGAAGTTCAGCAAAGGCTTACAGTTGGAGGGGGGGGTCCAGGTGGGAGATCCCAACCACCCAACAGGGGACTGGAAATACATTCTCAAAGTGGCGATATGGCAAATGAAACCCACCCGGCCTTGGAGGAAGCCCGTGGAGGACTTTGGGGGGGGGGGGTCGGGACTGGGCAAGGGATGCAAGAGGTAATGCTTTGGACAGAGGGAGAGTCTGGCTTTTTTGGGGTCGGGGCCGTGGGGAGAGGCTGCACCTTCCACCCTCTCTTTTTTGGGGGGGGGCAGGCCCCGGAAAGAAGGCCACGTGGGGCTTCCCGTATTTTCGTCACAGGGAAAGGCAAGCGCTTGCAACCCCGAGGGTCTCGCCCCAGGCCTCTCCCGTCTGCCCTGAAACAGCCGCCCAGCCTTCTGGGCCGGACCCTTTCATAACGGGCGCTTCTTCCCAGAAAGGCCCTTTTTTTGAGCTGCAGGAAGATGGAGGGGCGAGTTGATGAGGCCGCCTAAAGCCTCAGGCTCCAAGGAGGAGGAGGAGGAAGCAGCCTGAAGCAGGGCTGAGGGGGGCGGGCAGTGGGAGCCCTGACCAAGCTGAAGGAAGGGGGGGTTTGAGCCATGAGGCCGAGCGCCCGCCATCGAGCCCGAAGCCAGGGGCCACCAGCTCAGGCCGACGGGCGCCACAGACAAAGGACGCGCTCCATTCCCCCGAAGCCCATCCTCTTTCAGCCCCACCAGACGACAGGCCTGCTTAGAAGGGGGGCAGGAAAAGAAAAGGACCAGGAGGGTTCACTTTAGCCCCCCCCTTGGTGGCTCCTCACCCCCCCACTGCTCCTCCTCCTCTGCAGGGCCATGATCCCCTTTGGCCAGACTCCAGCAGCCGTGGGGGAGAGGAGCCCCATTTGAGGGACTTCCTCTTCCCCCAAGGGCAGGGACCCCCCCCACATGGGATGGCTTTCCCTTGCCCCACCTTCCAGGCATTGACCCACAAGGAGGGTGGGAGGGGAGCCCCCCCACAGCTTTCAGGTGCCCCACAGGCAAGGGGCAGGGGGAGCGATTGAGGGGCCGAGCGCGCCAGGAAAGCCCGGAAGGGAAGAAGAAGCCAGGGTTGCAATAATGCCCATCGAGGAAAATCCAGGCCTCTCCCCCCCCCCACGTCTCGGCCTCCCTGGCAGGCAGCTTCC